CCATAACAAAATAAAGCATTGCAGTTTTCTTCTGAACTTTGAATTCAAGGCTACAATACTAATGATATATGGACAAATTCCAAGTACACCACATTACTTTATGTACTATTTTTAGTGAAAATGCAGTGATGATAATACAGACTAGAAAAAAGACAAGTTCACTACATAATGGCAGGTCATGTTAAAAAGAACATTTATAATAAGGATGAAACTGGGTGCTTTTTCAAAGCCATTAATAATGATAGCAACCAGTACAAAGATAGAAAATCAACAAAGCAAATACTGACCTTCAGGTATTCATCAAACTTTGTAGAGAAAAGGAGCAGCCATTGGTAATTTATACTATTATTACCCAATTTGCTTTAGAAAAAGTGACTGACTTATCATTCCTTTTAAATTTATTTGATAAGATTATGTAATATTTTTTGAAAACTTTAAGTCATTAATTTATGATTATCCAATTTTTTGTCATAAAAGATCTTGTCTACTATTAATATTTATATATTTAAATTGTTTATTTTTTGAAATGTTTTTAAATTTCTGTAAAATATTAACTAGTAAATCCTTGTTCACAAAAAGGCAAAATTGCTTATAGAAATACAATTACTTACTTTTTTATTAAAATAAATTTTTAACATTGCTATGCTTGTTTATTTATTACCCTTCTTCAAAAATAGGGTGTAGGAAAAGCATTTTATTTGCTATTTGTTTTTGCATTAATTAAAGAAAGTATTTTAATATGAATAAAGTAGAAACTAAACTTCATGTAAAAATAACATAGAAATATTAACTTGCAAAGTAAATGTGCTTTTAAAATATTGACATTTTAGGTTTTTGAATACTCAAGAATTGCAGGATGCTTATATTGGTTGATCAGTATTTTATTAATAGATATTAAATGTTGAATCTATTTAATAATTGAAACATCTTAATCAGGGCTGCAGAGTCGGAGTCATGGAGTTTTGGTGTTTTAGCCAGAGTTGGAGTTGGAGTCGTCAAAAAATCCGCCGACTCCGACTCCTTTTTACTTACCAACTTGTTAGGTATATAAAACGGAAAAGTATTGGAATCGTGTCAAATTTGACCCTCCAAGTTTTTTTTTGCAAATCTACGTGTTTGGAGACCTCCCGAACCCTCCAAAAAGTCATTAAAAGAGGAAAAATTAGTGCACGTGTATGTGATGTGTTGGCGTCTAAATTTGTTTAATTTCTGTTCTGAGATATTAAACACTATCTCAAAATGGGTGAAGTTTAAGAAACGAAATGTGGTGCTGTAGCTCGCGTATAAAGGGGCATTAATACTATTAAATTTTGGTTCTTAATTAAAGGTCGACAGGGTGTAGACATAAAAGGGGTCATGTGTCATATCTCTTAATGAATATTTTACTCGTCATTAGCGTTCAAAATTTAAAAAAAAAAATAAAACTTGTCTTTACCGTCAAAGTAAGCTTTTTTGTCATTTTATAATAGTACAGTAAAACCCGTTAAGATGTTCTCACCTAAGATGTTAGAATGTGTATTATTTAGTTCAACCACTTTGACGCTTAATAACTAACTCCTGTTTTAAACCAACTGACTCTGATTTTGATCACTCTGACCACAGAAATAATTAGGCTTCACATGGGTGAACAAAATCATGCCCCCACACACAGTCTAACATCCACACATATAGAAAAAATCTCGAATCTGTTGCATATCTCAAAATTTCGAGGTGTCCTGAGTCCAAAATTGTAAAAATTTGGGAAGGGTCATTTTTTGACCGAGCACTACACTTTCCCCGGAAAAGTAAAAATTATCAAATACATATTTATATATTACTTAGAGGAGTCTTTTAGCTTTGGAATAAAAAGTTTCTACATTCTATCTTTATTAGAACTTTATTTATTGAATCTTTTATTCTGAGTTCATGTGATGACATCAGAATTTCAGGGTCTCTTTCGGTAACAAGTCCGCCCCTGGTCAGAGTCGGTAGATTTTTACACGACTCCACAGCCCTGGTCTTAACCAGTGGTTTAAATGTTAAATATTAATAATTTTAATAATTGCTTTCACAAGGAGAGCTTACAATGTGATCCTTGGGGATTTCAGTCATACTGTTTGTGTGGATATGCCTTGCTCCATTAAAATTCCATTGGTGGGCCTGGCCTGTTGTTGGCTATGATCTTGCTATGAACCTTTATTTTATTATTCAAAGGGAGAAAGTGTGATGCTCAACTGTTTTCAAGAAAATTGAATTTAAAAAATTTTGAGTGACTTTGAGAATAAAATGTGTTGAATCTTTCAGCAAAGGTGCTTCTCAGCAGCAGTGAACCTTACTCATATTGCAAACTCACTGATTTGTCTCAATGAGTGAATTTCTCAAATCAATGCAATTTTTACAAAAAGTAATTGTGAATTTTGTGGGTTTATACGTTTTGTCTATTTATTTTCTATTTAAAAAGTGCATTTTTGTCTTCTTTGAAAATTCATTTTCAGAATTAAAATCTAAAGCTGTCTATTAAAAATAGTTTTTACATTTGGAATGTAAGAATATGAATAATTTAACATTTTGAGTAGTTAAATAAATTCAAAAAATTATTATTGGGCTACAATTTGAAAAACTTGTAGACCTATAAATTCCCACTGTTGTCCATTGTCTTTCCTTAATCTCAAGAATGGAATTAGATAGATATCTGGTCTTAGATTTTATATACAGGGGCTGTAAGGTACAACCTTAGGAGCTGGAGGCCCCATTTAGCTATATATGAACTTCAAATTCAAATTGGAAGTCATATGTTATTTCAATTCAAAAATTTTTCCCTGAAAGGTATTAGATGACTATCACTATTGTTAAAGGAAAAGTATGGTGTATAGGGGTAAGTTGCTACTAATTTGAGGTTGAGAGAATATATTTTAAATGAAATAAATTTAAAATATGATTAAAAATTGCAGCCTGGCATTGTGACAATGTCACAATAAATAATTGCTTGTTTGTAACTAATTCCCACTATCAGATTGTGTGTGACGGTAAACACTCATTTTTGAATGTCATTTCATTGGTTTCTTATCCTTTGTAGTGAGGGTTAGTCAGATATGGCGTTATCACAATGTAGTGGAGAATAAACGTGGGAAATTTTTAAAAAATTTTCCCACACGTTTTTTTCATGTTCGTTTCAGAAAAAATTTTTAAACAGTTACGTCTAGTAAAGAAAAAATCTTTCTTTGTTGTCACATAATTCCTTTTTAGGTGAATTTTTTTTCGTGCTAATTTTTGACTAAAATTTTCTTGTGGATATTGACGTTGTTTTCCAGTGCCACGTGATCGCCCTTGACAGGTATATCCATTGATTACTGCAGAGTGGTTATTGTTTATATTGTAAATACTTTTCCCTTTTCATAGCTAATAAAACAAGCAGACAATAAAAGAATAATAAGTAATAAGAATAAGTAAGAATAATAAAATCTTAAAATATAAATAATTAATTATTTGAGTTTTAAAAACAAATTTTGACAGATAACAATTCTGAAAACAAATTTTCAAAGAGAAATTGCACACTTTTTAATAAAAAATTAAAGACAAAATGTATTTTTCACAACAAATTAGTAAAATTGCTAAAGAATGGCAGTGGGTAACTCAGTCAAATTGATTATTATCAGTATAGATGAATCTTAAAGTGATGGCAATAAGTGGATTCTGCTGTAATGTGAAATACTATTGTGAGCATGCAAGATGATGTTATGATACTTTTTTTGTCATTTGGTATGAATTAAAACGTCTAGCAGCAATCCGTGTGTCATCATCTGTTTTCATTTGCAAATAGACACTTGTTTTGTGTGTAAAGCACTTTTGTGCTGGCAATTTTTCAAAGTATCAAGTTTAATTGAGCAAAGAATGTGCATTAAATTTTGTTTTTGCAATGAAATACTGTCATAAGAATATTGGAAATGTTACAAAAAAGTCTTTTTGGTGGTTATAGTCTTTCAAAATCAAGAATTTTAGAGTGATACAAGATGTTAAAGAAAGGCAGAGATTATGTTGAAGATGAACAACACATCACTCAAGTCAGAGGTTTGGTGCGTGATGATTGTTGTTTAACAGTTAGGGACGTTATTGAGTATGTATCAGTGGTACATTGCTTCTAGAATCATCCCAAAAATGTTGAATTTTTCCAAAAACATGTTCAAGTGGCTGAGGAAATTCTTCCTTGGGGTGAATTGTTCTTAAAATGCATCATTATGAGTGATGAAACATGGATCTACGCTTTTGACACAAACAGCTCAACGATTGAGTGAATGGCATTTGAAAGGTAAAGCAAGACTGAAAAGACCACATCAAAGTTAGTCAAAAATCAAGGACATGTTGACTATTTTGTTTGATTGTCATGGTATTGTTCATTATGAATTCCTTCAACTGACCAAACTGTCAACAATAAATATTATTTGAGCATTTTGCATATTTGTGTGAATAAATTCATAGAAAATGGTCTAATTTGTGGGGAGAAAACTCATGGATTTTGCACCACAATAATGAACCTGCTCACAATCTTGTTCCTGAGTTTTTTGGCCAAAAATTCAACAAATATGGTTCCACAAGCTCTGTATTTGCCTTATAAGGCATTGTGTGACTTTTTCCTGTTTCTTCAACTAAAATTTCTGCTTTGTGGTCACTATTTTGAGTCAATTGATGCCATAAAACAAAATTCACTGAGTCCCAAAGGGGTTTCACAAAAATGACTTTTAAAGCGTTTTTCAAGGGAAAATGTTGGCTTAAGTGCATTGCAGTGGGAGGGGATTAATTTGAAGGAAACAAAATAAATTTTGAAGAATAAATTCAAATCTTGCATTTTATTGAACCATTCCCAATACTTTTTGATCATGTGGGTATATTTAATTTATTGTTAATTTTACTATAACTTTAACTTTGGTTTTAAACATTTTTGTATTTAAAATAATGCAAATGAAACTCTTTTAGAATTTATTGACTTCAAAAATATTAAGTACACTTGGAAAAATTTGAGTTTAATAAATGTAATTTAATTTTTTTTTAATAGGTAATTTCACAAAGATGAAGGAAGAAAATGGACTAGATTCTGCTCCAAATGTATCCATTAAAAGAAAAGCTGAGGATGAACAAGAGTCTCCTCCAAAACGTCAGAAGAGGAAGAAACAAAAAACTACAAGACCAAAAAATGCTTTAATGAGGTTAAATGAATTGAAACCAGGTTTGCAATATATTATAGAATCACGAGAAGGTCCACCTCATAATCCTACATTTGTTGTTTCAGTGGAAGTTTGTGGACAAAAGTTTACAGGTCGCGGCCAATCCAAGCAATTAGCCAAATGTGCAGCTGCTCAATGTGCTTTGGATGATGTTTGTGGAAGTGATTTAACAGGTGATAATATAGAAAATGAAACTGGTGCTTTTAATCAGTCTGAGGGAGGAAAAAAAATTAAAATGGATTTAAGTAAAGAAGAAGCAGAAAAAAGATTAGAAAAAATTAAAACAGAAGCTGAGGATAAGAATCCAGTTATGGTATTAAATGAATTACATCCAGGAATTGAATTTATATTAGTAAAAGAGAATGTAGCTCTACCCGCACAAAGATTTACAATGAGTGTTGAAATTAATGGAACAACGTTTGAAGGGTCTGGTCCAAATAAAAAATTAGCAAAAGCTGCAGTATCAAGAGTTGCTTTAAGCAGTTTATATAATATTAATTATAATGTAACTTCAACAACAAGCCAAGGAATTTTACCAGAAGAATTTATTTTCCCACAGTCAATAGCAGATAAAATATCTGATGTAATTCACAAAACATTTCAAGAAGTGATGGTCGACAATGTTGAGTATGCAAAATGGAAAGTGTTGGCAGGAATTGCCATGACTTCAGACCCTGAAATGAATAAAATAAAAATCATTGGTATCAGTACTGGCACAAAATGTATTAATGGTGAACATATCAGCATGAATGGTGTTTGTTTAAATGATTGTCATGCAGAAATCATTTCACGGAGATGTTTGAAAAATTTCTTGTATTACAATCTAGAAATGATTTCAGCTGGCTTGAAAGAAGATTCCATATTTATGCCAAATGAAAATGGTGCTGGTTATTGTCTTAAACCAAATATAAAATTTCATCTTTATATCAGTACTTCACCTTGTGGTGATGCCAGAATATTTTCACCACACGAAGAAGCAACTTCTAAGAATCCTGTTGATCATCATCCGAATCGCAAAACTAGGGGTCTTTTGAGAACAAAAATAGAATCTGGAGAGGGAACCATTCCTGTCAAAAGTGGGGATGCTATCCAAACTTGGGATGGCATTATTCAAGGTCAGCAACGATTGTTAACTATGTCATGTTCAGACAAAGTTGCTGCTTGGAATATTGTTGGCATACAAGGAGCACTACTAAGTTATTTTATTGAGCCTATTTATCTGGAAAGTATTATTCTGGGAAGCTTATTCCATCCTGGTCATATGCTTCGTGCCATGTGGGGCAGATTTGAAAATTCTTTGGGTGAGTTGTCCAAACCTTTTAGTTTAAACAAACCTAAGATGTGTTGCATAACAAATCCCGAAACACGTCAACTTTCAAAATCACCAAATTTTAGTGTTAACTGGATTGTTGGATTTGGAAAACCCGAAGTTATCAATGCGACTACAGGAAAATTAGAAAATGGCGAATTTTCAAGATTAAGTAAAAGATCCTTCTTCGAACGTTACAGTGTGTTATTTAGTAAAATTTCATCCGTCACAAAGAAAAAGACTAAGAAACCACCACAGTTATATTCTGAAGCCAAAAACTCTGCTCCCCATTATCAAGCAGCAAAAACAGAACTGCGAAAAGCATTTATGAAAGCAGGTTTAGGAACTTGGGTACAGAAACCAGAAGAACAAGATGATTTTGATTTAAGTTAAACTTCTCCATACATTTCAAGATATATAAATATATATATATAAATACATTATATTGTATATTTTAAATCAGTCATCTTTGAGTCTCAGTTGTAAAACTTTGTGAAAATCATCACAAGAAATAGTTTTATGGCATTACTTCTTCACTTAAANGGTATTAGACTTTAAATCACTCTACCCGTCTATTAAACTACCGGCAGTATTTTGCGCCGTAAGAGACCTCCTGTTTAACATGGTTAATGATAATAGCTTACACCAACAGATACTAGAATTGGCACATCTTATCTGTTATAACTCTTTTTTCCAATTCAACGGGATCACGTACGGCCAAGGAAGAGGCGTCCCCATGGGTAGCCCCATCGCAGGGGACCTATGCGAAATAGTGGTCAGACAATTAGAAGATATAGTCATCCCTCAATACTCACCTAACATCTTACTATATAAACGATACGTGGATGATATTCTCATCTTATGGAGGATTGAGCCGGATGTTTCAAGGTTCGTTGATTCGTTCAATGATAATCCATACGGCCTGACCTTAGAGATCGATCAAGCTCACGCTTCTGAAGCCCATTTTCTCGACATCAACATCAAGTTCGAACAAACAACTACCCGTACAGAAGTGTACCGGAAACCAGGGGCTGAGCATCTATACATTCCAATAGGATCGTGCGATCCACCGAACTATAAAATGGCAGCCTTCAACGCCTTAATTAGGAGAGCATACTCGCATTCATCGGATCGGATATCCCTACATGCCGAACTAAGACATATTGAACAAATAGCCAACGAACATGGTTATCCCAAGATCGTACGTAAATTGATCCGCAAATGGCGCTGCCGAGAAGTAGCCCTTAACCAAGCACCCAAGGAAGTTCCATCTAACATCATCCCGGTTACATACAATCCGTACCTGAAATCAATTTACAACACAATAGCGAAGAAAAAGAATATTCGCATCGCGTATAGAAGATGCGCCACAATTTTTGACATTTTACGGAACGGGAAAGATACCCCAAACAAAGAACGACGCCCAGGGGTATATACCATCCCAATGATTGATCATAGATGGAACAGAAGCCTGATATACGTAGGATCCACTAAGCGCTCCTTAGAGGTGAGAATTAAAGAACACATGGCGGATATTCTACATGCAAGGCAAAACACCGCTCTTGCCGTCTATGCCTCGGATACGGAAATAGAACCGTTATTCAGCCAGGCCAAGGTAATCCGCACTACAAAGTACACACACCACCTTAGATGGCTAGAGGCCCTGTACATATGTATGGCTACGCTTAAAGACGACAATTGCATTAACAACAAAGACGAGATCATCCTGTCAACTGCATGGCAGGTGCTCGTTGACAAAAAGTTACGTTAATTTAGAGCCAGCGAAGGGGCGCATGCGTCAATGACGCCAGCGATACGTACGAGAAAATTCGTAATGATGTTCTTTTTCAATCAAATTTGAATGGCGTTCGCTTGGACATGTTACCTGAGGAAGAACTTAAAGTTCGAAAGCACTAGTAATACTTCGTTTACAGAGAAGCACACCGGAAACAGGTTCATTGTACGTTGTTTTTTGATTAATAACTGATTATAATATCTTCGGGTATTTTGGGATTGCAGAATGGATATATTTATTTTTGCTTTATAATTCAAATATAAAATTTTACTTTTTTTGAAGTGACTGATTTGTTTATATAATCTTTAATAACTGTTTTTTCCATTATTTAGTTTCTACTAACTATTGATGTTTTTATAAATTAATATCTATAAATCAGTTTGAGTTGACAACACTATAAATTAATCAAAAATGTTAGCAGTAATATTGAGATTTTTTAGTGATTTCTAATACAGTCAAACCCTTTTAATACAAAGTTGAAAGGACTTAAAATAGGCACTTTATATTAATGAGGTTTGTATTAAGCAAATTACAAAAAATTAATGGTCATATCATCGAATGACAAAAGCCAAATTTTCTTCTAGTTATTTTATGTTTTATCTCTTTTGGATATGTTTAACCCTTAACTGGTTTCTTGGGGGCCGCGCGGCCCCCACGCGTCATATTTTTACGATTTTTAAAAAATCTAAATATCGTGCGCAGCTGCCATTTTATGTAATCTCATTACGTCGCGACTCTTAGCGAGTGCCAAATGTTTGGCCCTGTAGCATTTACAAAAATGGAGCTACGTACCTTCTGGGGGCCGCGCAGCCCCCACGATACCAGTTACGTTGGTTTTTTGTGGAAATGTGTTTTTATGTTTTTTTTTTATTTTTATAATTATTTTGCAAAGGTATCTCAATCTTGCATCAAAAATTCAAAATGACTACCAAAGAATTATTTGAACTGCTAATAGATGATAATATTATACAAATTGCCAGATCAAGCCGAAATCTCCTGAAAAGATTATGTTGTCATTTTGTGCTAGAAAAAAAATGGTAAAATATGCTACTAAGTGCAACAGTTGTTTGAAATTTATTTGCAAAGTGCATAGTACTACAAAAATACTATGCGATAACTCTCAAGACTGAACTACGTAATTGCGTTAAAATGTTTTCGAGTCTTAAAAATAAAAGTAATTATATTACCTGTGGTTTTTTAACAAATGATAGTTAGAGGCTATAAGAGATACTTTTTTATAAAATTAGTTTTTCAAGAATAAGAAAAAAAAATATATTTGTTAAAACTTACAATAGGGTAGATTTTTGTATTGTTTAAAAAAGCATACACTAAAAGTTGTAACAATTTTGTGATCTCTTGTAATAATTAAGTAAAGAAAATTATATAAATAAATAAAAGTTGATTATACTAAAGAAAGGTTCCATTTAGCATTTATGCACTTTTGAACTGTCACATTGTTAAACTTGCTCTCTATAGGCAAATTTTGCTAGGGGGCCGCACAGCCCCCATGATACCAGTTACGTTTGAAAAATTTACGATACCAGTTAAGGGTTAAAAATAAATAACTAAATAAATAAACAAACTTGCATGTTGATTTAAACATATACTTTATTGAGATACAGTGGCTTGAAGAAAGAATTAATGGTTGTTTCTCAACATTGATTAGTGTTAGTAAAGGAATGATTAAAGCTACTGAACATAAGACTGACCTAGATACCAGATTGAATCCAGGCATTGGATACATGCAAAACTTTATAAATTTAAAAATAACTGATTTGATTAGATTTCAATGAAAACAGTTTGTTTTTAATTTTAAAATCATGAACTAATTATAGTATAATTAAACCTTGGGTTTCAAATGCCCTGCTTTTCNCTATTATTACCCAATTTGCTTTAGAAAAAGTGACTGACTTATCATTCCTTTTAAATTTATTTGATAAGATTATGTAATATTTTTTGAAAACTTTAAGTCATTAATTTATGATTATCCAATTTTTTGTCATAAAAGATCTTGTCTACTATTAATATTTATATATTTAAATTGTTTATTTTTTGAAATGTTTTTAAATTTCTGTAAAATATTAACTAGTAAATCCTTGTTCACAAAAAGGCAAAATTGCTTATAGAAATACAATTACTTACTTTTTTATTAAAATAAATTTTTAACATTGCTATGCTTGTTTATTTATTACCCTTCTTCAAAAATAGGGTGTAGGAAAAGCATTTTATTTGCTATTTGTTTTTGCATTAATTAAAGAAAGTATTTTAATATGAATAAAGTAGAAACTAAACTTCATGTAAAAATAACAGAAATATTAACTTGCAAAGTAAATGTGCTTTTAAAATATTGACATTTTAGGTTTTTGAATACTCAAGAATTGCAGGATGCTTATATTGGTTGATCAGTATCTTATTAATAGATATTAAATGTTGAATCTATTTAATAATTGAAACATCTTAATCAGGGCTGTGGAGTCGGAGTCATGGAGTTTTGGTGTTTTAGCCAGAGTTGGAGTTGGAGTCGTCAAAAAATCTGCCGACTCCGACTCCTTTTTACTTACCAACTTGTTAGGTATATAAAACGGAAAAGTATTGGAATTGTGTCAAATTTGACCCTCCAAGGTTTTTTTGCAAATCTACACATTTGGAGACCTCCCAAACCCCTCAAAAAAGTCAATAAAGGAGAAAAATTCACGCATGCATGTGTGTTGGCATCTAATTTGTTTAATTTCTTTATTTTTTGTTCTGACATATTTAAACAATATCTCAGAATAGGTAAAGTTTGAGAAATGAAATGTGGCATTGTAGCTTGCGTATAAAGGTGCATTAATACTATTAAATTTTGGTTCTTAAAGGTCAACAGGGTGGAAACATAAAAGTGGTCATGTGTCATATCTCTTAATGAATATTTTACTCGTTATTAGCGTTCAAAATTTAAAAAAAATAAAATAAAACTCATCTCTACCCTCAAAGTAAGCTTTTTTGCCATTTTATAATAGTACAGTAGAACCCGTTAAGATTTTCTCACCTAAGATGTTAGAATGTATATGGGGACATGATTTAGTTCAACCACTTTGACACTTAATAACTAACTCCTGTGTTAAACCATCCGACTACGATTGTGACCACTCTGACCACAGAAATTATTAGGCTTAAAACAGGGTGAACAAAATCATGCCCCCCACAAACAGTCTAACATCCACACATATAGGAAAAAACCTCGAATCTTTTGCATATCTCGAAATTTCAAGGTGTCCCCAGTCCAAAAATGTAAAAATTTGGGAGGGGTCATTTTTCGACTGAGCGCTACACTTTCTCCTCTGTTATATATAACAGCCATAAAAGTAAGAATTATTGAATACATATTTATATATTACTTAGAGAAGTCTTTTAGCTTTGGAATAAAAAGTTTCTACGCTGTATCTTTATTAGAACTCTATTTATTGAATCTTTTATTCTGAGGTCACATGATGACATCAGAATTTCCGGGTTTCTTTCAGTGACAAGTCCGCCCCTAGTCGAAGTTGGATTGTAAGGAAAAGTTGGAGTCGGAGTTGGAGTCGGTAGATTTTTATGCGACTGCACAGCCCTGGTTACCAGTGTGCAATTAACTTCAAAAAACAAAAAATTTAAATTTCATGATAAAATCTGTTTTTAGCATGGCAAGTGCTAGTGGACAAAGACCTATGAATTCTCATCATTTGATACATATATAGTGCACATGCCTAGTAAAAATTCATTGGCCAACACGTATTCGAAATTCAAATAATATTCGTATTTAATCGCATTCTAATGGAAATTTATCGCCGCCTGAAGAAGAAATGTTGAAGGTTCGAAAATGTTTGTGAAATTTTAATTTTTTGATTTTTGAGGTTAATTGCACACCGGTAACAGGCTTTGAGGTATGTAATTGATTATATTCCGGTGTTGGATAAAGGGAAGTTATTTCAGGAAGTATTTGGTACAGAATTTCATCTTTCAGTTCTTCAATGTTGTAAACTTTTGTTGTGTGCATCCTGTCTTTGACAAACTGCAAAGAAAGAAATCCAGTGGTGTAATGCTAGGGAATTGAGGTAGGAAGGAAATTGGTTTTTTGCAGCCAATCCAAAATTCAGAAAATTATTCCTGTTGGTAGTCCTGAACAATTAAACTCCAATGTAGACTAAGGTGCCCCATCTTACTATAAGTAAATGTTTAGTTGTCAGTATTCAATTTATGGTATCACATGCATAACCATACAACATATCAAGGTATGTAGTGCTAGTCACTATATGTTTGGAAAAGAAGGTTCCCTAATAATCCATCACAGTGCCATCTATTGATACATTCAGTCAAGGTCAGCACAAACTCTTATAGCCATTCTATCATCTGAAACAAAACAGAGGTCTCTATGTGTGTTTTTTTTCAATTCCTTTCTTGAAATGCACTCAATAATTTATTACTATCCTGTGTATACTTCTGACTTTTTCATTTATCAATGTGGTAAATGTTATGCAATTTATCTAATAATTAATTAATGACATCATATAATTAATGCATGTTATTTCTAAATTTTATGAAACTTTCTAATTATGTCTGTTTTGTAACTTATTTCGATCTTATATAATGTTTAGCCAATATATTACTATTGTTATTCATGAAATATTTTCAGATATAAGTTAAAAAATTTTAAATACTATAGTTTTATTTTAGTTAGCACTTATTGATTTTTAGATAATTTAATTTTGTTTTTGAAATTATTTGTTGCATAGCTAATTGTTAATCAATCATTATACACTATTTTTATGTTAAGTAATTATAGAGATAGAAAGCATTTTTATAAAATTTATGATTCTTGTAATTTCAATGCTTTTTCTACTTAATATTTATATTGTAAATTTCTGAAGATGGACTTTGAAATTTTAATTTACTTAGGTTTTGTTCTTTATATATTGTCTACAGCAGGGGTGTCCAACCCGCGGGCTGCATGTGGCCCAATACAAAATCGGTTTTGTTTACAATACGTGTAAACAAAACTGACAAATTCTTTTATTTTTATTTATTTATTTATTTCAACGGCATAAACTCAAAAAAGAAATTTCACAAAGCTGTAAACTTTTATACATATTTTATTTTTGAGTGAAAAGGAAATATTTTCAAATACTTTGAGATGTGTGAATGACGAAGGAATACTAAATAAAGCTGAAGTTGTGACTCAAAGGATTATAGACCCAAATTTGAGAAAAGGAGAGAAAGGCCAAAAGATAAAAAGTAGTGAGAAAGGTTAAATAGACCTTCTGTTATGCAAATATTG